AGAGGAGAAAACACTGCACTTTATTAACCCTCTCAGGCTCAAATTAATTTTTAGTATCAGGAAAAATCTGATATTTGGGGAAAATTATAATATGGGGTAGTAATATACAATTCTGACTTTTTTATCCTTTGTAAACAAAAAAAGTATTTTGCACTTCTGGCAGGCCGTTTGTATGTAACCATTCTTGCACAGTCTGCATCATCCACGTTTATCAGCATGGATGGGAGACGCCTGCCTGGAGAGGGTTAAAGGGCGGGTCGTGCACTTCTGTTCACTTATAACAAAACATTTAGATCACCATTTAGGTCACCTTTTATTGATTTGAAAACAATGTATTAAAAAGTTTCGGTCTTTTAAGTCCTTTTGCTCCCTGTGCTAAGTCCCTCCCCCTTCAGAATAGCCTCACAACGCAGTCTGCCTCCTGCTGATGAAATGACTGCACATTGAGTCAGGTTTGTCAAGTTGTAGTGTATTGTTTTGCAACATGCTTTTTGGAAAATGGAGGAGGATGGTGATGTAGGCTTGTGGGCGGAGCCTTGTACAGTATTGTACCACTAAATGTAAGGAGAGAGATCTCTAGATTATGTAAACAAGCATAGATGACATGCAACAACATTGTAACATAGAAAGCTCCATAAAGTCATTCTTGCACAAAATCCATCTTTTAAGATACATTGTGTCACTTTTCGGGTGGAGGGTCTGTCAAATACTTTTCTCTATGGACATGTTAGTACTTTGGCTGGACTCTTTCACTCAGACTCACAGTCACTATGCCACTGTCACTGTTTTTTGAGGTATTTTTGAGCTATAAAACCAGCTGTAATTGAATGCATGTAAGGTCTGTTTATCTGTTTGATGTCATACTGTGGAATAACATTCCAGGCAGATTAATGACATCTCCATAGATAGAACAGAATAGAAACAAAATAGAATAGAATAGAATAGAATAGAAAGTCATTATATATAATGAGATGCAGAGCTGCTCCTTCAAAGTGCACACAGCACAATATAATAAAATATAATAATATAAAAGTAAAACTACTGTCAACTACTAACTACTGCACATATACAGTAAAACTTGTGCAACACCCACCAGGGTTCAGGGTTACACAGACAGACTGACAGCAAGGTGACAGACCCCCAACCAAAAAGTTATATAGTGCGCCCATAGTGCACTATGTAACTTCCTCTGTCTACAGAATAAAACAATATTCTGTCTTATTTTGTAGAAATTCTGCTAACCCTGTAGTTTACACCAAAACAAACATGTTCTGAATTAAAAACATCACCATGGAGACAAGCAGGTGGCAGACCCTGCATCAGGAAACTTACTCAGTGCATCGTTAATAAAACTGCCATCAAAATGAAACATTATTGCAATAGTAATCATAAAAAGAATTGGTTGTTTTGGCTCCTCTGAGGCTGCTGTAGTTTGAAGTTTGACCCTCTTTGCCTCCTGTATTTCCTGTATGAAACCTGCACTGTTTTAGGTGTGTAAGTTTGGATGTAATTGCCGCTCAGGAGCAGACACGTTCATGTTCCCAGGGCCCTGTGAATGTTTGATACAGACGCAGAGGAGACGAGAGGTGAACCTATAAACACTGAAAATGCAAAATAAATTACACCAAACAAGAGTCATTTAAACTAAAATAAACACGACTTAAGCAGCCATTTTGAGTTATTTCCTGTCATTATCCTTGCTTACTCTCACATGAGGTGGTGATGCATTTAGTGTTGTCAAAACGATCAAAAGTATATATCGAAACTAGATTCTCATTTGAGCAGGTATCGATACTAAAAAAGTCACATTCACAGGACAGAAATGAACCCCCTCTACATGATCCTGGTGTTTTTATTTCTTTATTTTGTCCATAAATCATACAGTTTATAATGTTTGTCAGTGCAGCATTAAACTTGTCTATCTCCATGGAGACAAACACCTGTTGCGTTACAACAATAAACCATAAAAACATTTAGAATTGACTGAAAATGCTTGAGACCAGAGGAGGGTTTTTCCATCAATAACTCGCATGCCAACAGCACACTTCCTGGTTTGGGGAGATCAATAAATGCGTTGTTGTTGTTGTAATTAGGTGCAGACAGCACACAACAGACTTATTTTGAGCTGCTTATACAATATATCTGTAGTGGGGCAAATACATGTGGGAAAAGCATGCAGAGTGTGTCTTAACTGTTCAGTCGTTAAGGAGATGGGCTGAACGTGATCCTCGTCTGTCCTAACGAATCACAAACCTTGTATTATTCACATGAGTTCTGCTCGAGTGGTGTGAGACAGTTGGTGGAGTTTGTAGTATCATTGGTGTCGTTTTAGCAGTGGACGTGAGGATGCAGTGTAAAAGTCTGCAGCTTTGGTCAGAACTTCAGTGTGATCTCTCCCAGCCCACAACTATTCAGACAACACACACACACACACACACACTCACACCCCATCAGATAACATTATAGGACTGCAAAATTCATTGCACTCTAAATTACAATTCGAAGTTTTTGAAGAACCATAATTTCCTTCCCAAACAACCATAAAATCATAAAAAAAACTGCTGTAAAAGCCTGTAGTTTCGATCTGTCCAAACCACAGTGTCTGAAGAAGTGGACTAAGGGAGTGTGACTTCAACCATTGCATTCAGGTCCAGTCAAATGAAGCTCACAGAGGCTTGCACTTGTTTGAATTTGGAGTCAAGTTTCATATTAAGAATAGGAATTAATTAATGGACAAAATAATGAAATAAAAACACCAGGATCATGTAGAGCGGGTTAATAAGAAGAGTTTAAGACCAAAATGAGGAGTATGACAGCAGCAGGTACAGAGAGGAAGTCATGTTTTTTCAATACAAAGTGAATTGGAGCCAGAGTTGATGGAGCCAGAAGCGTGATTAGGAACATAGCAGCTGTCTATTTATAGATTTAGTCTATATTACAAACATGTTCTGAAATGTGATTCTTGGATTAGTTTGTCGGTTCTTCTGGCTGAGTTCAAAATGTGATCAGAATCTGAGTATTAAAACGTTAATCACAAATTGAATCATAATCCTTGTCAGAATAGTCACAGTTACATTTTTTCCCACATTGTGCAGCCGTTTTCTCATTTATTTTCGTATATGATGGAACTTTAAATGAACTCCGGGTGGCGTCGGCAGTAACAACGTGATCGATATGTAACAATGCATCTATTGTCATCACACTGCTCGGACTCCATGTATGTCTATGGTAGAATGTTCAGCAGTTACCATGGTGACACAATGCACACATTAGCAAACACTGCCAAGTACATTTTTAGCTTATCTGAAAACTTAAGTCTAAATACAAAAACAAGTTCTTTTCAGGAGGATGTGGTCAGTGCGAGCGTTCATGGATCTGTTTAGGTGTTAAAAACTGTTGACTAATGTGAGCCAGCTCATGACTGTAATGTTATTTGAGGGGGACTTGTTTGACAGCCCAAATCAGCTGACTTGTAGTCAGTTCTTTCTGGTCAGCTTGTGTCAAAACAATAACAGAGCTTCAGACAGAGCAGTGCAATCTGTTAGCTCTCAGTACATGGCTCCGCCCTCCCCTCTATTTGTCTGTGTGTATTTGGATCCAAACCTTGGTGCTGACAGATGCGTCTCATATGCCTGTTTTTAGAGCAGCTCTGGTTTTCTCCTGGTTAATCGGATCTGTCCAAACTTCATGTTGATGGATGATGCTCTAAACTTAAACTAATGATGAGAAATGCGCTGCTCCGAGGCACCTGGGTAAACAGCCAGCAACACAATACAGCTTTGAATATTTCCACATCAAAAATGTGATGAATTTGGCTCAAAACTCACCACAAATAAATAAGTGCTTTTAAAGATTCTTTCTTCAAACAACATTCCAGATCTTATTTATAACTATTAAAAAAAGGATATTATGTCAAACAACTCGCCTGCACAGAATTTCATTACATTTTTATTATTATTATTTATTTTTTTATTTACACATAACTGTACTTTGCTAATTTAGGTGAAAGAAACACATTTTTGCTCACTACTTGAATGTTGCTGCGGTTTGATTCCTGTTACAGGTTTCCCATGGTCATGGAAATCCTGGAGTCATGAAATTTTTGTATCTCATTCACACATCTACAGTTCTGTTAAGTTCTCATGAGGTTGTTCTGATTATTTCTGAATGTCTGTGCCTTTTGTTTAAAAAAGATGACAATAAATGCACTGACAGGATTTAGAATGTTAAAAACTGTAATTTCAAGCCATGAGGTGAGTGGAAAGAGTTTCACATTTCAGATTTAACCCTAAAAGTCTGATCAGTTCTACACATGAAGGTGCTGTAAAGTCATGGAAAATTCACTTTAGCTCATAAAAAAGTCATGGAAAAGTTTTGGAAATTTTGTCATTGAAAAAGCGCATGAAACCTTATTTATATTGTATATGTTATTTGTATTTCTTAAAGCTGTTGTGCCCTTTGGCAATTCACACTCCGTGCTAAGAGTGACCAGGAATGGTAGATATTGGCAGCCACAGTTTTGCCAGTCTGTCCCAGGGCGGCTGTGGCTACATGGTAACTGAAGGGTAAATGAGTCTTCAGTGTTTTTCAGCAGACGCCAAACCCCCAAAAAGTGACACAGTGTGGCATTAACACTGTATTTTCATATTTCATACTGTTTTTTCATATATGAACACGTTTTAACCTGCTGTTTTCTCTCTCCATCCCCCCTTCTTCCCCCCTCTCTCTCTTCTATTCTCGCTCTTCTCTCCCTGTTCTTCCTGTCTTTTCTCTCTCTTTCTCTTCACTTTCTCTCGTCTCTCTCTCTCTCTCCTTCCTTCTCCTCTGTCCCTTTCTCCTCTTTTTCTCTTTCTCCTCTCTTTCTGTCTTCCCCCGTTCTCTCTTTCTCTCTCCCTTCTCTCTCTCCTCTTTCTCCTTTCTCTCTTCTTCTCATCTATGACTTGCCTCTCGTCTTTCTCTCTCTCTTTCTCCCCCTCCTCCTCTTGTTTTCCCTGTGACAGATGGAGAGCGAGAGGAAGAGGAGGAAATACTCGACGAGCAGCGTAGACTCCGACACCACTGACAGTAAGTTTGTCTTCACTGAGGGAAAGTGTCAAACGGAGCTGCACTATTCGCGTCGCTGTGCGCTCATTAGCCCCGGTGTGAACTGAAAACACACACTTAGCTTTAGCGTTAGCGCCGGATCCGTTACAGGGGCAGACGTGAAGCGGGTCCACCTCCGCACACGAATCCTGGGGAGGCCTGTCATACGCATACAAGATCATATTAACATTTTTATTTCAGATTTTTTTATTTTATTATACAGTAAATTCAGGAGTAGGAGAAGGAGCAGTGCATTTGACAGATTCATGTACTTTTCTAATTCTCACTTGGTTTGGGGGATAGTGCCTGTGCTAACTATTTATCATAGTTTTCTATCAGTTTAAGTGGCTGTTTGTGAAGAAAAGTAGAAAACAAAAAGTTGGAAAATACTGGAAGTAGGAGACAATTTACTCACATTTTTCAGACATTTTCAACATTGATTTTGTGTGTCATTTATTTTTATTTGTCAAATCATAACAGTTGCAATTTAGGTTGTGGTTGTGTGTTACATTCTGCTTGTCAGATAACATACCTCTGTGTATGTCACAATGGCCAGTGTCAAATTATAACCTTCACCAAAATGACAAACGTAGAAAAGACTGGGTATGAGTTTGAGTTAAATCTCAATGATATTAATTCTGTTAGAGAAAAGTGTAACCTGTCATATGTACATTATTTATTATAGTTATAGACGATGTATCAGATCACCAACATATCGGGACGACATTTGCCTTAAATCTGAATGCCTGATTCGGTTGAGTTTACCAACTGCTGCATAAAGCTTTATGGAGCATGAATTTTGTGCACTTCTAGAATCAAAATTCTAGAAGTGCACAAAATTCATGCTCCATCATGGGTTAGTAGTAAAAACAGACTTGTGGATTATACTGGTATTATTAGCACTAGAAGTATAGATAATATTTATGTTAATAGTTATTTCAGATTATACATTTTTGGGGAAAATAATCCAAATTGGTCTGTAAATCATATAGGTCATGCCGACACAGAGCATGAAAAACCCATATTGGTCAATCTCTATTGATACTATACAGAGACATTGTGCTGGGGGGGTTCTTCATACATGCCTATGGCAGAATGTTCAACATTAGCAATAACTACCAAAAAAAGAAAAAACAGGACACTCATAGTCCTGTTTAGGAGTTTGATTTTTAACAAAAAGGTGAGAGTGACTAAAAAACTGTTGGCTGATCCTGCTCACGACTCATGACAGAGACCTGTTTAGTTTAACAGCACAAATCAGCTCTCCTGCTCCAACTAAGTCACTTCTTTCTGGTCAGATTGTGTTAAAACAAAGCCCAGACTAAATCTAACTTGAGTTACAGAGTCTCAGACAGAGCAGTGGCTTCAGTTAGCGTCACACTCTCAGGAACTATTGCTGACATCAGCTGCAAAGTATCAGTTTAAACTAAGGATGCAACGATTAATTGACTTGTAATTGTGATTTGTCAAGTGTAAAAAATAACTGTAATATTTTAGCTAACATTTATTATAAAGAAATGTGCTTTCAAATGGTTCCTAAGATAGAACCAGTATACACATATATTTATATATTCACTAACTTGTGTCTATGCAATAACCTGTCAGCACATGTTTTTCAATTACATTTTGAAGTATCTGTAATATTTTCTGGCCCCTCAGGCGATCGGAGGGTGGAGTAAACTTATAAACCTGTGTTACACCGGGTTAAATCAAATCATGAGGTAAGAGAAGAGATGCACATGTGGAGAGTTATTTAGCTGTTAGCCTGAAGCGCTAGTCTCTGAATGTGATGGTGAGATTAGCGTCAGATTAGCATAGGCGCTAGAGAAGAAGAGGTGAGTTAAATATCCAATGCTACTGGCAAGGTATATTATTTAGCATTTGGCCATGTAAGCTAATGCAGTTCTAATATTGCATGAAGATAAGACTGTAAGATAAATCACAATGAACTAGTTTAGACCTCTACAAACATGTTCTGAAATGTCCCCGTGTGTCAGATGCCCTCAATGTGTGTCAGATGCCCTTCTTATGTGTCAGGTGCCCTCCCTGTGTGTCAGGTGCCCTCCCCGTGTGTCAGATGCCCTTCTTGTGTGTCAGGTGCCCTCCCCGTGTGTCAGGTGCCCTCCCCGTGTGTCAGGTGCCCTTCTTGTGTGTCAGGTGCCCTTCTTGTGTGTCAGGTGCCCTCCCTGTGTGTCAGGTGCCCTCCCCGTGTGTCAGGTGCCCTCCCCGTGTGTCAGGTGCCCTTCTTGTGTGTCAGGTGCCCTTCTTGTGTGTCAGGTGCCCTCCCCGTGTGTCAGGTGCCCTCCCCGTGTGTCAGGTGCCCTTCTTGTGTGTCAGGTGCCCTTCTTGTGTGTCAGGTGCCCTCCCTGTGTGTCAGGTGCCCTCCCTGTGTGTCAGGTGCCCTCCCTGTGTGTCAGGTGCCCTCCCTGTGTGTCAGGTGCCCTCCCTGTGTCTCCTTGGGGTATTATTCTGTGCTGCTAACCCTTCTACAAATATGTTTTGAAATGCATGGGATTCTTGAATTAGTTAACAGCGTGTCATTTATTGGCGTGACCAGCCAGAAGCACTTGTACTGACCGTCGTGGAGTTCTACTCTGTGTTGTGCTTTAAAACTGCATAATGTATGACTCCTTGTGGTTTAATGCTTACTGTATGTGATTCTGATTGTGTGGTGTTTTCTTTCAGGTACAGTGTTATAATAATGTTATAATTAAGTGATGCAATGACTCTGTGGTGTTTTCTTTCCGCGCAGGTGATTTAAATGTTATTGATTCAATGACCATGTGATGTTTTCTTTCAGGTCCTTTGATTTAAACATTATTATGTGATATAGTGACTGTGTGGTGTTTTCTTTCAGGTCCAGTGATTTCAATCTTATTATATGATTCAATGACTCTGAGGTGTTTTCTTTCAGGTCCAGTAATTTTTATATTATGTGATTCTATGACCATGTGATGTTTCCTTTCAGCTCCGGTGATCTAAATGTTATTGTGTGATTCAATGACTGTGTGGTGTTTTCTTTCAGGTTTAGTGATTTTAATGTTTTATATGATTCTGTGACTGTGTGGTGTGTTCTTTCAGGAACTGGCCATTTAAATGTTATTATGTGATTCACTTACTATGTGGTGTTTTCTTTCAGGTTCGGTGATTTAAATGTTATTATGTGATTCAGTGATTGTGTGGTGTTTTCTTTCAGGTCCAGTGACGTCGTGGTCACGCTCCAAATCCACAGTCACCAGCAGCACATGGGTCGTACACCCGCACAAGAAGCCTTCAGAGGTCAGTCTAAACCTGATTACTTATATTACAATAATGCATAGGAACGCTACAAGTAGGCGATACTGACACAAATGTATTTCTCAGTGTTTTTGGATTAAAGTAGAATTTTTTGAGCGTTTGTCATTTTTTTGTTTTTTGCCATTTTATAGTTGTTTATCTTGTGTTTGGAGTGATTTGTGCATATTTGAGCCATGCTTGTCGCTTATTTTCATAATGCCATATTGTTTGGGACACCACTAGATGTGCTCATTTTAGTTTTGCTCAGCTCTTTTAGTCGCAGTTCCGCTTTAGTCCTGGTCCTCAGCCCCACATCGCAACCACACGGCTCAGAGGAGGACTGTAATCTGCCCTAAAGTCCCCATCCTGCCAAAAAATTAAATCCAAATACTCACTTGAATATGAGAGGCCAAATCTGTTATTAATGAGTTTCAGATTTCTGCTTTATATATTTTGTTTTGCATTGCTAATTGCTATGGCAACAGTAATTTTTATGTAAACGAAGGATAGGGCAAACACATATACAAAACATACAATTCATAAGATTTTATGTCAGTTGTTTTTAAATAATGGTTTGTTGACTTTAATGCAGTTAGAAGCATTATAATTGAGGATGAACAAACAACAGAACAAATGTGTATAAATAAAAGTTCAAACCTTATTAGGGCCAATCATGACCAGTAAATAATCTCACTACACAGGTTTATCTGTCCAAACAGGGCATCGGCAAAACTGATATTAGCATTTTTCAGTATTGGCACTGATATCTGATACCAGTATCAGATCTGTGCATCCCTAAAAACAAAATATTATTTTTTTGTGTTAAGTTCTATACAGCAAAAGTACCTAGAAAAAAATACCTTTTGGGGTTGAACTTGTGAAACTGAGATGATGCTGCATTCGATGGTGTCGGTAATTTCCAGTTTCTCCTCCACACCTGCGGCTCTCAGAATGAGCTTGTGACCTGCAGTAACCCACAGACCTGAGGCTGGGGTTTCGATATATCCCTAATGTAGAACTGTAGGCCTCGTGCGGAACTGTACGCCTAACGCTGTATGTGCTGTGGTTTCCTGTCTGTGGGAGTGTGTGCTGCAAGAGGTGCTGCACGGCACTTGCTAGAATTTTTTTCTCTCAAATAAATAATTAAATAAATATTGCAAATAAAAAGACATTTCATCTGTTTCACTTGTAGTCATGAGAAGGTACTGTGGCTCCATAAAGATCTTATTGTCATTAAACTTGTTTGCATCTTTGCATTTATTCAATTACATGTGTCTATCACTCAACAGAACCTTATAAAACACACATTCTTATTGTGAACGGGGTCACCTTTACACAGAGCTGACCTGTAACTTGGCCTGGTGGCATCATTTTCTTGACTGCATGGAGATAGACAGATGTAATGCCAAAGCAAGTGATGTACCCTCCACCAGAAAAGTGACACAGTGCACCTTTATGCAACTGTAACTGTAAATACTATTATACTTTTTGTAACTTGACTTCACTGATCATTTTATTGTACAGTGTATATTTAATGACATACTGTGGAACATTCCAAACAAAGCAATAAAATGTCCATGGAGACAAGCAGGTGACAGATCCCTCCACCAGTGCAGAAGTTACTCAGTGCATTTTTAATTTGCATAGACTCATGGATGCGAGCTGTAATCTTAAAGAGGAGCAGGTATTATTCAAATTTGACTTGCATGTTTGAGTAATTTAGCAATTTAGTAATTTAGCAGTCTCTCCCAGTTAGCAGTACAGTCTCCATAAATATACAAAAACATGCTACAAAACACTACACTACAACTTCACAAACCTGATATGATGTACAGTAGTTTCATAAACAGGATGCACACTGATTGTGTTGTGATGGTGCTCTGAAGAGGGGTTGGAATTCAAAAACTAAAACCTATTAATCTTGTGAATACAGCATTTTTCAAACAATAAAATTTCACATGGTGATCTAAATATGTGATGTTTTACAGTTAATACCCCACAGAAGTCAAATACCTCTTCTTTAAACTGATCATACTGTAGTGAGGAGTGCACACCTGGATCACGTTATTTTGAGTTTGTGCGAAAATAAGCACTTTAAATGTGTGTCAGAGAAACTCCAGAGGGACTCATGTTCTGCTCCCTAAATATAGAGGCAGGAAGGGCATCAGGACCAATCCACACGACGAGGGCAGAAAAAGTGCTGCCCATAACGTGACTTAAAGCTACACTATGTCACTTTTCTGATGAAGGGTTAGGGTTTAGCCGCTGCAAGATGAATCACAATCTAATCACAATTTGAATGGGCACAATTACATGGCCAAAAGCTTAAGATATAAACAGTTAAATCCATCAGAAAATGACTTAAAAGTAGTGAAATTATCTTTCTGCATGGACAGATCATTTTTCCTTGACAAGTTATCTTAAAGTAAACTACCTCTAGACTAAAATGGAGCAGTCTCAGAACGAGTAAGTAGATAATAAATCTGAAAACAAGATGAATAGCCTGATTTAAGATTCTTGGCCAGATCAGAGAAATTTGCAGCAAATTTACGAATTACAAAGAATTTAGTTCCATAATTTCCTCCACAAACAACAAAATCTCCAGTCTTATTCTGCATAAAAAGTTCTAACCCTGTAGTCCAGAGCTGCACAAACACGTTCTGAAATGTGATTCTTGTCTCATTTGTCACTTCAGATTTCAGTCTTTTGGTCAATTCTTCTAGACATTTTAAACATGTGAACTTTGAACAGAATCTTATTATTAGAGCATAAATTGCAATCACAATTCCTGTCAGTTGTATAGCAAAGTCGCCTTAAATAAAGAAGCGGTGCGAATTCAAATGCCAGAAAATTGTCCAAAAATTTAATATAAGGGTGAGTTGTTGTACAGTTGTAGGGAGTATTATCTGTTACATAAGGGTGAGTTGTTGTACAGTTGTAGGGAGTATTTATCTGTTACATAAGGGTGAGTTGTTGTACAGTTGTAGGGAGTATTATCTGTTACATAAGGGTGAGTTGTTTGTACAGTTGTAGGGAGTATTATCTGTTAGTTGTTGTACAGTTGTAGGGAGTATTATCTGTTACATAAGGGTGAGTTGTTGTACAGTTGTAGGGAGTATTATCTGTTACATAAGGGTGAGTTGTTGTAACAGTTGTAGGGAGTATTATCTGTTACATAAGGGTGAGTTGTTGTACAGTTGTAGGGAGTATTATCTGTTACAGGGTGAGTTGTTGTACAGTTGTAGGGAGTATTATCTGTTACATAAGGGTGAGTTGTTGTACAGTTGTAGGGAGTATTATCTGTTACATAAGGGTGAGTTGTTGTACAGTTGTAGGGAGTATTATCTGTTAGTTGTTTGTACAGTTGTAGGGAGTATTATCTGTTACATAAGGGTGAGTTGTTGTACAGTTGTAGGGAGTATTATCTGTTACATAAAGGGTGAGTTTTTGTACAGTTGTAGGGAGTATTATCTGTTAGTTGTTGTACAGTTGTAGGGAGTATTATCTGTTACATAAGGGTGAGTTGTTGTACAGTTGTAGGGAGTATTATCTGTTACATAAGGGTGAGTTGTTGTACAGTTGTAGGGAGTATTATCTGTTAGGGTGAGTGTTGTACAGTTGTAGGGAGTATTATCTGTTACATAAAGGGTGAGTTGTTGTACAGTTGTAGGAGTATTATCTGTTACATAAGAGTTGTTGTACAGTTGTAGGGAGTATTATCTGTTACATAAGGGTGAGTTGTTGTACAGTTGTAGGGAGTATTATCTGTTACATAAGGGTGAGTTTGTTGTACAGTTGTAGGGAGTATTATCTGTTAGGTGAGTGTTGTACAGTTGTAGGGAGTATTATCTGTTACATAAGGGTGAGTTGTTGTACAGTTGTAGGGAGTATTATCTGTTAGTGAGTGTTGTACAGTTGTAGGGAGTATTATCTGTTACATAAGGGTGAGTTGTTGTACAGTTGTAGGGAGTATTATCTGTTACATAAGGGTGAGTTGTTGTACAGTTGTAGGGAGTATTATCTGTTGTTGTACAGTTGTAGGGAGTATTATCTGTTGTTGTACAGTTGTAGGGAGTATTATCTGTTACATAAGGGTGAGTTGTTGTACAGTTGTAGGGAGTATTATCTGTTACATAAGGGTGAGTTGTTGTACAGTTGTAGGGAGTATTATCTGTTACATAAGGGTGAGTTGTTGTACAGTTGTAGGGAGCATTATCTGTTGTTGTACAGTTGTAGGGAGTATTATCTGTTAAGGTGAGTTGTTGTACAGTTGTAGGGAGTATTATCTGTTACATAAGGGTGAGTTGTTGTACAGTTGTAGGGAGTATTATCTGTTACATAAGGTGAGTTGTTGTACAGTTGTAGGGAGTATTATCTGTTAGTTGTTGTACAGTTGTAGGGAGTATTATCTGTTACATAAGGGTGAGTTGTTGTACAGTTGTAGGGAGTATTATCTGTTACAGGTGAGTTGTTGTACAGTTGTAGGGAGTATTATCTGTTACATAAGGGTGAGTTGTTGTACAGTTGTAGGGAGTATTATCTGTTACATAAGGGTGAGTTGTTGTACAGTTGTAGGGAGTATTATCTGTTACATAAGGGTGAGTTGTTGTACAGTTGTAGGGAGTATTTATCTGGAGTTGTTTGTACAGTTGTAGGGAGTATTATCTGTTACATAAGGGTGAGTTGTTGTACAGTTGTAGGGAGTATTATCTGTTACATAAGGTTGAGTTGTTGTACAGTTGTAGGGAGTATTATCTGAGTTGTTGTACAGTTGTAGGGAGTATTATCTGTTACATAAGGGTGAGTTGTTGTACAGTTGTAGGGAGTATTATCTGTTACATAAGGGTGAGTTGTTGTACAGTTGTAGGGAGTATTATCTGTTACATAAGGGTGAGTTTTGTACAGTTGTAGGGAGTATTATCTGAGTTGTTGTACAGTTGTAGGGAGTATTATCTGTTACATAAGGGTGAGTTGTTGTACAGTTGTAGGGAGTATTATCTGTT